CAGAGAAGGCCCTACCCCGGGTAGTAGCCAGGTGGCATTGGCTGGTAGACGGGACCTGGAGGAGGCCAACCCTGTGTGATCTAATGGGTCTTTGGGAGGTAATTGGCTTGCAAGTGATACACAGGATGTAATTGCAGAAGTCTTCTTAGTCACAGGAGCTAGATTCCTCCAGCAGGAGCTCAGGAGGCCCTTGAAACAGTAAAACAAATCTGAGTGGGGAATGACAGCCTTCTTAAGAGCCAAAGGCAGAAGGGTTGCTGTCAGTTCGGCCCAGATCGGGCGAACCAGTATCTGTGGTTGGAGGCTCCGCCCACCCGCCCAGACGCTTCTGCGCATGCAAGCACACAGGCTGAACTAGTAGTAAAAAAAATTAGCAACCCACCTTTGGCCAAAGGTAGTGCTTTGCTAAAATTATTCGGCTTATAAACCCAAAGCCACTTTGTCTTCAGGGATCATGTTTGAGACTTTTCCTCCTCATCCGGATCTGATACCCCCCCTCCCACAAGCACTTCTATTGTGTAACTTTTTAAAAAAATCTAGGAAGTATTTGTTATCACTTTATAAATTTAATAATTATCCTATAAAGAATATCTACTTTATTATCAGTAGATAATAAAGACTAACAGCAGTGACACTATTTCAGACACAGTTATACTACCTATAGCCACAGAATTACTATTTTTAACATTGTCATAGCATTTATGACACCCTTTTCATCATTTTTCCTCTTGGACATTAATTTTACAGCAATTATTTTACTTCTGCTCTTTGCAACATTACATAGCTATTCATCCTCATACTAATCTTTAAAAGGCTTTTTCCAGCATTCTCACAAGTTTCAACATAAATCATTTCATTACTTCTGTTTTTTATTTCCAACCACTCTGCAGGACTCTAGTCGCCTTTGCTCACTTCCCAAACAATTTTTATTTCATCAAAATAATGAATTGTTTGCATTTTCTCTCTTTTAATTGTAGCTCTTTTTGACAACATACTTAGCAACTATTGTTTCTTTCTGTGCACCTTGCAGTACACAATACCTTTCTCTCATCCTTATTTTGCAGCAATCTTATATGTGGGTTTTTTCCTCCTTCACAAACCACAATTTCACTTCATCAGTCCAGCAGTCGCACTTTTTCACACTTAGTTTAGTCTGAAAATGTGAATGGCACTCTGTAACATATTTTTTTTTACTGTGTTCCAGTTTTCCACATACTTTTTCTTAGATATACTTTCTGTTCATTCTAATATATCTTGTAACACTTTTTCATAAAGAACTCATACTTTCCCTGTTGGCAGTTTCATTTATTTTCATTCTTTTTTCTTTCACTTCCTCATTTTCCATTCTTAACATTACAGAATAATGATCTGTCCCACAATCAGGATCTTGCTTCATTTTATATCCTTCACTAATTTTTTTCAATGAACAATTGTCTCATGAATAAATCTGATTTTTTAAGACTTATATTCAATTCTTTACCATTTGTATATATGACAGTACATGTATTTAAATAAATGTATACAAAATAGATTTTTTTCTGTGAAACTCACCAATCATCGTTCTATTTTATTCTTAGTTCTCTGAATGGCACAATCACTTTGACTATATTCTCATCTTATTTCCATCAATCCATTCACGTCCTCCAAAAATATTTTTCCTCTGGATTGTTTTCATTCAGGATGTTGTATGATTTTTTTCCCAAGCTCATATTTTCATTAGCACTATTCACTGTAATGAGCTTTTGGCAACCTATGGATTCATACTTTCATACAAAGCCAGAACAAAACTGACATCAATTAATACTTTTGACACATATTTTAACACTTTTACTCATAATTAAATAATCACTTCTTTGCTCATTTTTACCAGCTCTGCTCTGTAGGTTCAAGTTGTCCATAATCAAATCTTTAACATCCTTTCCCAAGTGTTAATCTGTTTATGGGAAAGCACATTTCTAACTCTAAATTATCATTTCAGTGAACTCATGGCCATATGTAAAATATGGAGAATATGTTGTTACAACAACAGTTTTTCGAAGATTTCTTTACTGCCAGTCAGATTGCATTCCCACTCTCCCCTTTTCGCAACCTTCTGACCAGCAAAGTCAATGTGGAAGCCAGATTCGCTTAACAACTGTGTTATTAACTTAACAACTGCAGTGATTCACTTAACAACTGTGGCAAGAAAGATCGTAGAATGGGGCAAAATATATTTAACAAATGTCTCATTTAGCAACATAAATTTTGGACTCAATTGTTATCGTAAGTTGAATAATTCCTGTACTGTAGATGAATATTGGATTGCACTGCCCTACAGCAAATTACTAAAATTCACTAATAATAATATTGCAGCATGTTATCTAATACTTTGGGTTTAAATTGTATTTAAATTGTGAAATGATTTATTTTGGCAACTTTGGAAGCCTTGAGCTCAGAAACGCTCACTAAATGAACTCAAACAGCAATATCGTGCTCAAAATGGAATGATTCAAATTTGAAACAGTTGAAATTCAGAACACATTGATTGATATGTACCATCAAATACTTTTTAATTCCTAGTGACCATATAGATCAGGGGTGTGAAACTCGTGGCTTGTGGGCTGGATGCATCATGCATTGGCCATGCACACAAATTGATTGATAGATATGTGCCATCAAATCCTTTTCAATTCCTAGCGACTATATAGATGAGGGATGTCAAACTCGCGGCCCACGGGCTGGATGCGTCATGCACTGGCCACGCCCACCTCCGGTTTAGCAAAGGGGAAAAAAGTCATGATATGTCACGTGATGACGCCGTAACGGCACAAGTTTGACATCCCTGACATAGATAAATTTTCTCCATGACAATCTATCCCCAATCTGTTCTTTCAAGTCTCCCAATGGTACATTTCTCTCCACTGTAACTGAGTCAGAACATTTTGGTATTTTTCTTTATTCTGGCTTCCAAATATATTTCTTAATTAATCAACAGTCACAGCAAATTTATTGGCATAATTTAACACCCCTTTTCCATGTTGAGAAATAAAGAACAAATGTTTAACAGAATAAGAGAGTCGGAAGGGACCTTGAACATCTTCTAGTCCAGCCCCCTGCTCAAGCAGGAGACACTATACTACTTCAGACAAATGGTTGTCCAATCTCTTCTGAAAGCCTCCAGTGTTAGGGCATCTACAACGTTTGGGGGCAAGCCACACCACTGATTAATTGTTAAATTAAAAGTTTATAGGTAAATAATTTGGAGACATTTTCTTCTACTGTATAATAATTTCTGATACCTACACTTTGTATTTTTCTCTAGTATCCCAGTTCCATGGAGAAAAATGTTATTGCTGTAAAAACAGTAGAAGAGAAAACAGGTAAGCATTTTAAAAATGTTCAGCTCTGCCCTACTTAGCCTTGATTCAGGAATCTGCGCTCTAGTAAATTATGGTTTAGATTATTGCAATATGTTCTATATGGAACTGCCCTTGAGGAGGATGTGAAAACTTCAAGTAATCCAAAATACAGCAGCAGGAATACTGATTAGAACTGGGTATTGTGAAAATATTAAGTCAACTTTCCGTATTCTTTGGCTCTCGGTTCATTGCAATCCACATTCAAGTGCTAATATTAATCTAGAAAGCCCTTTAGGGTATGAGGCCATGTTATCGGAAGGATTTTTATTTATTTGTTAGAAGTTATAAGCTACCCAACTCCAATGGTCTCCTCCTGGATGTTTGTAACTGTGCCTGGAGGTGGTTTTCAGAAATGTCTGTCCCTGGCCAGATATACGCACACATCCCCATGAAAACACACACACACACACACACACACACACACACACACACACACACACACACGAAGTAAAAGCTTTACTTAGAACTTAGTAAATATAAGCAATGGTAGGCAGAACTTTTGTGGAAATCTTCCTAGCATATTTCCGCAAGTGCATGGTCCACTTTTCAGATCATTGAACGTCACTTTGCACAGGCCGCTGCATCTCCAGGGCGCAGGCCCATGTCTTGCATATCTTTGTGGATGGTGTCTTGCCATCTCTGTTTTGGGTGCCTGTGAGGTCGCTAGCCATTGACTTCTAGTTGCTAGGCAGTCTTGGCAACATTAGAAGGTGTTGCTCTCAGGACATGTCTGTACCAGTGGAGTCTGCTTTCTCTCATCTTCTCTGTAATTGGTGCCATACTAAAATGTTGTTGAATGTACAAAAGCAGCAAAGCCTCAAAATTCCCAGGCTATTTGCCTACAATGGGCTTGGAATAGCCAGAGTGCAAAATGGGGAGCAGAAATAGATTACAATCCAGAAATCCAAAAATCCAAATGTGTCTGCAGAGCCTGGTTCCAAGACTCAGGATGCAAATGCATAGTATTCCAGCAAGCAGAGCAGTTGCCCCCAACAAAATTGCCGGACAATGCTGGCTCTTAAATGAATCCTGTGCTAGGCATCCAGGGCAGAAATGCCCTTGCCGTGGAAGGGGTGACGCTGATCTGTTCTCCTCTGCACACAGTTCAGCATGCTCTGGTGGGAGGGAGAGGAGATCTGGGATCCAGCCTTCATCTGGTTCCAGCTGACTTGAATGTTCCTCAGTCATGCCAGCCTTAGATGCCTAGTTGCTAAGCTTCCTTTAAGTCTGATATTTGTCTTGAGCATCTTTAGCAGCTTCCTCACTTCAGATTCTTCTGAGTCTGAGCTGGCCTTCACAAGAGACCTTATTGCTGAGATGCAATAAAGAGTCACCAGGCTGAAGCCTTTTCCATAGCAGCTGCATGATTCTGGTGCTAATTTTATTGTATTAATGCTTTAAACCAATGGGGAAATTCAATTTTTTTACTACTGGTTCTGTGGGCGTGGCTTGGTGGGCATGGCAGGGGAAGGATACTGCAAAATCTCCATTCCCACCCCACTCTGGGGCCAGCCAAAGATGGCATTTGCTGGTTCTCCTGATTACTCAAAATTTTTGTTACTGGTTCTCCAGAACCTGTCAGAACCTGCTGGATTTCACCCCTGCTTTCAACCTTTTAATATATTCATGTTAATTTAAAATTTACATGTTGCATGGAAATATTTTCATTAATTGAATGGTTGTTTTAATTTTTATTGTATATTTTAATTTAGTTTAGTTACAGTTTTTACATTGCAATTTTAATGCAACCGCCCTGCAAAACTCAGTTTTGAAAAGCCACATTAAAAGGTTTTAAGTAAAACAGATTTATTTTCTTCTTTGTTTAAAATGATCAAGAAAATGTTCAGTTAACTTCATGTAACACATTCAAGTGTATTCTAGAGTACCTATTTAATTTTATTCACTAATAGAAATATAATAGAACTTTATAGAAAATAAATCTTTTGTTGTTGAGTTTATTAGTTTAAGAATATTTATGTGATGATGCATACTGTAATAGTTACGTGGTATTTTTAGATAGAAATGTACAAAATACTTTGAAATTATAGTCATTTACATCTGTTTCAATTAAGTGTCTGGCCTAATTTTGGAAATGAAACTTCTGTAGTTTTCTAGGTGGGTGGTCTATCTTAATAGACTAGGTTGGAGAATGAATATGGTGCTATATGTTGTCCTAGATCTTTTAGTAGCATGTGTAAATCATCAGTCATGTGGTCTTTTGCACTTCTATTTTGTTCAGTGATATAATTAACAGATTAACAGAGTTGGAAAGGACCTTGGATGTCTTCTAGTCCAACCCACTGCTCAAGCAGGAGACCCTATACCTTTTCAGACAAATGGTTATTCAATCTCTTTTTAAAAGCCTCCAGAATTAGAGCATCCACAACTTCTGAAGGCAAGCTATTCCACTGATTTATTTTTCTGTCAGGAATTTTTTCTTAGTTCTAGGTTGCTTCTCTCCTTCATTAGTTTTCAACTATTGCTTCTTGTCCTGCCTTCAGGTGCTTTGGAGAATAGGTTGACCCTCTCTTCTTTGTGGCAACCCCTCAGAAATTGGAACCTTGCTATCATGTCACCCTTAGTCCTTCTTTTCTTTAGATTGGCCATACCCAATTCTTGCAACCGTTCTTAATATGTTTTTGTCTCCAGGCCTTTAATCATCTTAGTTGCTCTTCTCTGCATTCTTTCTAGAGTCTCTTTTTTATATTGTGGTGACCAAAATTAGATGTAGTATTTAAAGTGTAGTCTTCTTACCAAGGCCTTATAAAGTGGTACTAAGACTTCATTGATTCTGTCCTCTGTTAATGCAGCGTAGGATTGCATTATCCTGGATTACATTAACAGAGGGACAGAATCAATGAAGTCTTAGCACCATTTTATAAGGCCTTGGTAAGATCACCTTTGAAATACTGCATTCAGTTTTGATCACCACAATATAAAAAAGATGTTGAGACTCTAGAAATAAGGCAGAGAAGAGCAAGAAATACTTTTTTGGCAGCTGCTGCACATTACTGGTCATATTTAGGGGATTGTCTACTAGGACTCCAAGATCCCTCTTGTAATTACTGCTATTGAGCCAAGTTTCGCCGAATCTCTATATCTACATTTGGGTTTTTCCCCCTAGGTGTAATAGCTTACTTTTTCTCCATTGAACTTCATTTTGTTAGATAGGACCCATTGTTCAAGTCTGTTGCGATGCTTTTGGATCTTGAGTTTATCTTCTGGGTTGTTGGCTATTCCTGATAACTTGATGTCTTCTGCAAATTTGATGAGTTCCCCTTGTATTCCTTCATCTAAATCGCTTATGAAGATATTGAAGAGTACTGGGCTTGAGACAGAACCTTAGTACCACACTGCTTACTTCGCTCCATGAAGATGTAGTTCCATTAAGGACAACACGCTGTGTGTGGTTTGTCAGCCAGTTACAAATTGTGGTGATGCTGCCTATCCCATATTTTTCTAGTTTACAAAGAAGTAGGTTGTGGTCTACTTTATCAAATTGCTTAGTGAAATCCAAGTATACTTTGTCCACAGGGTTCCGCTGGTCTACTAATTTAGTCATTTTGTGAAAGAATGAAGTAAGATTTATTTAGCAAGATCTGTTTCTGACAAATTCATGTTGGCTTCTGGTTATAACTTTGCTAGGTGTTTGCAGATCTGTTGCTTGATTATCTTTTCCCGGATCTTCCCAGATATTGATGTCAGGCTGATTGGTCTGTAGTTTCCAGATCTATTTTTTTTTCCTTTTTTGAAGATAGGAACCACATCAGGATTTTTCCAGTCCTCTGATAGAGTTCCCCAGTACTCCAGGCTATTTGAAGGATATGGTTCAATGGTTCCAAGATAACTTCTGCCAGCTCTTTCAGAACTCTGGGATGTATTCCATTAGACCCAGGTGGTTTGAACTTGTCTAGAGTAGACAAGTGTTCTCTTACCATTTTAATTTGAATTCCTAGTCTGCCTTTTATGGATCTGTTTTTGGTACGTTGGGGTATTTTTTCTTTTTGAATGAAGACAGATGCAAAAAATAAAATAAAAATTAAGCAGCTCTGCTTTTTCCTGCCTTCCATCACTTT